ATAATGAAATATGAAAGAATAAATTTATAAATTTCTACTTATAATAAGATAATGTGGAAAAATGAGTTTACATTACATATCTAAATAAAAGTATAAATAAAACTTGAACTACAACTAAAAATTATTGTATAAAAGTTAAATATTTAATTCAATATGGTTGATTTTGAAACACGACACTGCGCGTAATGCAACGTACAATTGCTTTGAACCAGTTCACTTGTTGTGGCGATGTAGGCACTGATTAGTCTTTATCTACATAAACTAAGTGTGTTTCAACGAATAAGATATTTGTTCACACCCCGTATTTATAAATTTATCTACAAAACTCCTCCTTCTTATGCTAGTGTATGGGAGGCCCTTGTTTTGTTTATTAGACGATAAAATTCACGTTCATATGCCTGTTGAGCTCAGAAAGATATATTATAGCGAAATGAATAGTTTTCAACGAATATGCATCGACTCGGGTTTGTAGGGAAAAATTTTCATCGAAGAAGCCACGCATTCTTGGAGATAGTTTGTCAGCTACAAACGTGTACAAGCAATTGAAAAGTCTTACTTTTTCTGTAACTACAAAACGTTTCTGATATCATTTCTAAATATTATATATATTTGTGATAGTTTTTCGTAAAACTTTTTATTCATATAATAAAATAAAGATGTTAGAGAGAAGATATGTTATTCATATTTCCATATAATTATTTACATAAAAAAAACATTTGTATAGAATTTTTGAACGTCTCTGTGCAATTATAAAGCAGTTCGACAGGACGACTGCAATAAAGTGTGTTGTCCGACATTTCTAAAGAGATTCTAGTTACCAATTTATTGGGCTTGGTAATTGGAAACTCTTTAGTCTATTGTCCTGTAAATAGAAAGGTTTCCGATAACATTTCAACTTATTATATATATTTTTGACAGTTTATCGAAACATTTTCATGTATATTATGCAATAAATATTTTAGTAGAAAAATATATTTTAGTTATATTTTTTTTACATTTATTTACGTATCAAAGCATTTATATAGAACCTTTGAACATCTGCAAGTAATTAGTAATTCTCAGATGGGGAACCAGCAATAAAATAGTTGATTGGAAATGTTTATTGTCCTGTATGTACAAAGGTTTCCGAAAATGGAGTTCTCAATTGTTACCATTTATGACTGCAATAAAAGATGTCAGATGATGGTTCTTAGAATTTCTGACCCTTTGTTCTTCTTTGAACAATTCTGTAATTTTTCTCACTCATAGTTCTGCTCTTGAGTTGTTCGGTCTGCTTATTTTGTGTTGAAAATTTTGAAATATTTTTGTGTGCTTTTTTCACTCGTGTTGTTGCTACTTATCAAGTAAGTTACTTATCATTATAATACTTTAGGAAAATAGTTTTCTCGTGCATAATATAAAAGAACGGATTTTAGATAATTTATTTTGTTGGCAGAATGTCTTCTGATTCGGATAACGAATATATCCCAGGATCATCAAGTGAGTCTGAGGGGAGTTGGTCTAGTGCAGTTAGTGGGCTGACGGGATCGGATGTAAGCGAACAGGAAATGGATGTGGCATCCACATCAAGTACAAAAAGCTGGTGCCCAATAGATATGAACAATCTACCTTCGGCTCCTCCGTGTTTTCCTTTTGTGGGAAATCCCGGAATGACAGTAAACGTTGGGAATACGTCTGACCCTTTGGAATATTTCCAATTGTTTTTTGATATAAATATGATCAATAATATTGTGGATGAAACAAATAGATTCCATTCTCAACGGCCACAAACATCACGCAGTAACTGGACACCACTTACTGGAGAAGAATTTTTTGTGTTCATTAGTATATGTATATTACAAGGTATTATAAAAAAACCCGAGGAGAGGATGTATTGGACGAAAGACGCCAAATTACACACCCCGTTTTTTGGCAGAGTAATTTCGAGAAATAGATTTAGAAATATAAAAAAAAATTTACATTTCATAAATAATGACACTTATAACCCAGACACACACCCCAATCCTAAACTGCACAAAATTTGGCCGATAATTGTAGACCTAAATTCAAAATTTTCGCGATTTTATATACCGGAAAGAGACATATCCATCGATGAGAGTTTGTTGCTATACAAGGGTCGTCTTTCGTGGAAACAATTCATTCCTCAGAAACGGTCTCGTTTCGGTGTGAAATTTTATAATTTATGTGAATCCTCATCAGGATATTTATATAAATTTCTAATTTATACCGGCAAGTCAACTACATTGGATGATAAGTATAAAAATATGCCAGTCAGTTCAATGATTGTGCTAACGTTAATTGATTCGTTGTTAGATAAGGGCTATTGTCTAACAACAGATAGATTTTACTCTTCCCCACAGTTGGCGGATTATCTTGTCACGTGCAAAACGGATTTTTATGGAACCGTACGCACAATAAGACGAGAGATTCCGCCAGTAATCCATAGGCAAAAATTGAAAAAGGGAGAAACAATTGCTTTCCAGAGAGGTAAGCTAATGGTTATGAAATGGCAGGACAAGCGAAGTGTAGCTTTACTGTCTACAGTCCACAATCCTGCCATGGTAACCACACGAACACATGCCGGTAAGTCTGTTGTAAAGCCACAGGTCATTGTCGACTACAACGACACAATGGGGGGTGTTGACCTGTTAGATCAACATCTCCATGACTATGCAGTGGCGAGAAAAGGTGGGAAGAAGTACTATAGAAAAATATTTTTTCATTTAGTAGATTTTTGTATATACAATTCTTTTGTGATGTACAAGAAAAATGGTGGCCAAAAAACAAATTTACAATTTCGACTGACTCTTATTGATAGAATAATAGAAACATATCACACCGAAACGAGGGTAACACACCAAAGTCGGCTGAGAACAATAGGTCCGCTAAGACTAACGGAAAGACATTTCCCGGACTTCGTTCCACCGACTGAGAAAAAAGCTGCTCCCACTAGGTACTGTGCTGTATGTTGTAGAAAACGTGACAGTACTGGAAAAAAAAAAAAAAAAAACACGGTTCTTCTGTATGGAATGCAATGTTGCATTATGTGCAGTACCGTGTTTTAAAATATATCATACTCAATTAAATTTTTAATTTGTATATAATAGTTTTTTCTATAAATCTCTTAACAAATATATTATTTTCAATTTATTTTTCCACTTATTCTTGTATAAACGTATTGCATTATATATTTGCATTATCAATTTATTTTTCCACTTATTCATGTATAAACGTATTGAATTATATATTATTTGCATTATTTTCAATTTATTTTTTCCACTTATTCATGTATAAAAATTTTATATTTATAATTGTAAAAAAAAATACAAATAAATATGTTAACAATAAAGCATTTATTTTATAATAGTTTATCCTGTGCTTAGTTTTTTTATATGCTAACGTCACGATTATGTCTTGAGCTTTGCTGGAAAAACTCCTACAAAAAATTAAAATGTAAAAAAATGCACTATTTTATAAAATATATATTTTAAAACATTTATATAAAACTTTGTTTTTTCATCACGAATTATTTACATTCATTAGGCTTATCATACAGAAAAAAAATCGCAACGGATCACGTGACATGCACAGCTGTGCTGTGTTTATAAATACCTGACTTTGAGATCAGCTGACTGTTGACGATCGCGGGTAGTTTCCGAACATGCCTCAGGGGAAGATGGGTTTCTAGTGACGTATGTAGTAGTTACCGTAAATACTCAAATATATCAATTATTTTTCGAACATATCTACGATTGCTATGAGTGGGGACCGAAAAAATGTTCAATAACATAAACTACTATTGGATATAAATAAATAAAATTTTATGCCGTCATCAACAACATCCAATAGAATGTAAAAATGCTTCGCTCGAGTCAGACTCGAGCGTGGACATTTTAGAAAGTATTGATGACGTGTTGCTCGAGTGACACTCGAGCGTGGATCTTACGTCACGTATTTGTTGCTCGAGTCAGACTCGAGCGCGGCTCAGAAGGGGTTAATATAAATAATTTTTATCGCCGTTGAATAAGAAATGTTTCTTTCACAAGAACTGTATAAAATTACAGTACTGTATTAGACTTACGGTACCTAATTTACATACTGTACAGACAATAGTTCGCTTAAAATCTCCGTAGCGTGGCGCTAGATGGCAAAAAGCATATATATATATATATAATTATAATAAAATTACAATAAATTAAGTTAATATATAATTATATATATAGTACCTAATTTATATATAATTATATGTACAGTACCTAATTTATATATAATACTGTACAGACGATAGTAATCTCTCTGTAGCGTGGCGCAGGACGGCGGAAAGTACTTCGGCTGCCCGATGACGTTTTACATAATTATAGAAGTTTTTTTATCGTTTTTTACAGATACCATCGCAATTTTTTTGTTGTATTATAGGAATCGTAATTATAGGAACCCGTTTTATAGGTGGTCTACTGTATTCTTAAGGAAGGATAAAATGCATGCATTTTTTAAAGTAATGAAGACTTTAAAAATATAGATAATAATTTTAATGCTTTCAAATATTTTTTATTTAAAATTAATCATGCAATTTGAGATCATATTAAGCATAACTTTCTTCAAAAGTGTAACCCTGCAATTTTAAAAAAAAAAAAAAAAACTTAAAAGTTCCCTTTTCTGAATTTAATTATATTTGGAAAAGTCATAATTTATATTTAGAAGTTGAGTTACATCATCAATTTTACACATGTTTTGTATATATACTCTACCCACTTTTAGTCTGAATCCTAACAGCAGCACTCCTAATGAGCAAAATGGACTCTAGGCAGAAAATTCCACTCTGATCCCCAACCAGTTTATCTAGGAACCATGATCACAATCAATGTTGCAGAGTCAGATGGAGTCAAAGTATTAGAGTTTTGTATTAGAGTGGAGTCAAAGTCAATAAAATTTACAACATTGGTTGATAAGCAATCCTGGAGTCACATTTACATGCACATCTCTGCGATGTGGGTGCAAAGGACATCCTGTCTGATAGTTATGAATTGTTCATTGCACAACCAAAACAAAACAAAAAATAAATAAATAAATAAATACTAGGGTTTCTCATTTCCCTGTCTTTTGCTTGTCCCGAAATTACAGGATAAAAGTAAACTGTTTTCCAGGATTCCAGGATAGAATTAATTATTTTTAAGATATACAAAATAGCTTGAAATCAAACGATATAATTATTTTTCAATTTTTAAATATGTTCTGCAACCTCCAAAATCATTAATAATGCTGTGTAATATACATATAAAAAAATACCTTTGAATTACGTAGAAATTTTCACAAATGGAAAAAAAACTTTATTAAAGTTTGCTGAAAACTGCATACAACAACAACAACAAAAACTAAATGCTTTGAATTGAGTTAAAAATTAACAAAAAAATAAACTTAGATCAAACTTCTAACTTGAAAGGTAATTTTCAAGTTTTTTAAATAAAATATAATACAAAATATTATTGTAAATTTTTATAATAAGATTTTAAAAAGCAAAAATGGTCAATACTCTGATCACTCAATCTGATTCTTATTTTAGTAATGAAAAGTCCTACTACTGAGAATGTCCCTTCTGATTCAATATATGTGAGTGGAATCGTGTTTAATGCATTTAAATGTTTAATGTTTAATGCATTCAAGACAGATGTTATGTGTTTTTCCACATGTAGCCTGGAAGATTTCTAGTTCATTTTTGAGATTGTAATACTTTTGCTCTCTAGTATTCCTGCTTTAATAGAAATATCAAGCTTATCTTATAGCCCAATAATTCGTCAGTTCTTTTGTCTTTAATAATCAGGTTTATGAAGAAAAACTTCATACTTGCAAATTTCATACTCACTTGTATCCTTGCCCAATTTGCACAACCTGGTGTTATNTATTGTAAATTTTTATAATAAGATTTTAAAAAGCAAAAATGGTCAATACTCTGATCACTCAATCTGATTCTTATTTTAGTAATGAAAAGTCCTACTACTGAGAATGTCCCTTCTGATTCAATATATGTGAGTGGAATCGTGTTTAATGCATTTAAATGTTTAATGTTTAATGCATTCAAGACAGATGTTATGTGTTTTTCCACATGTAGCCTGGAAGATTTCTAGTTCATTTTTGAGATTGTAATACTTTTGCTCTCTAGTATTCCTGCTTTAATAGAAATATCAAGCTTATCTTATAGCCCAATAATTCGTCAGTTCTTTTGTCTTTAATAATCAGGTTTATGAAGAAAAACTTCATACTTGCAAATTTCATACTCGCTTGTATCCTTGCCCAATTTGCACAACCTGGTGTTATGCAGTTGAAGCTACTGGACATGGTTATAAATTAAGACAGCATAAGCACAATTATTCCAGATATTACATGTTCTGACAAGTAAAGAATTTTCAGAGTCCTGTCACAAATAGGTTATGTATTGATTACTGACAATCTGTGACATGCCATAATGAGGAAACATTAAAAAAAACTAATAAGTAGGTTTAAAATTAATAAATACAAATGTATTCTGACAGTGTATGAGTTAATTATACATTCTATTTGCAAAATTTCTTTGACCTTAACACAAAATAAAAAAATGTGAACTTTTAAGAAACTTACTGAGCTTACTGCACTATATGGCTGAAAGTTTAATGCTTTCAGCCTATTCTTACAGGCCATCTTCAGGAAATTATCATTCCACAAATGAACATAAAGCTTTCGAACACTCATAAATTTAAAGTTTTTGAAGATTTTTAAAAAATTATTACATTAAACGGTTAAATATTAAATAAACAACAAATTACTATTACATTATATAACCAAACAAATGTAAAAATAAAATACGATATCGAAAATACATTAAACTAGTTAAAGCATAACTGCGATATTTTTACAGGTTTTTAACTTCCATTTCTTTTTCTATTACATATTTCGCATTCGACGATTAAAAATAATTTGATAGGCTTAACATGGAGGAAAATTCAATGTGAAGTAGGTTAATAGCAATATACTAATTACATGGGATATAATAATATACTACACTAATAATGGATTTTTTAATACTTTTAGGTTATCCGACTTTTCAATTATCTGACCAACCCCAGTCCCCAATTGAGTCAGATAATCGAGGTTCTACTGTATCCAGGATTGGAAATTTGGATATACCATGCTAATAGATTCAGCCATCTCTCAGTCTATAAATGCTGATCAAACCAGTTTAACGCCTTAAGTTCTTAGCCCGAGTTAACTCGGGCAAGACGAGTGCTTGCGTAGTTCTTCGCCCGAGTTAACTCGGGCAACAATAAAAAATTCTATTGTGAACGTTCTATGCACGATATTACTCGGGAAAAGCTTATTTTGTATTCTATTGGATGTTGTTTATGACATCACAAAATTTTGAAATTATATACCCAATGAAAGTTTAAATTTTGGACAATTTTTGCGGTCCCCTTCTATTTAAAAAGTATACATGATCGAAAATTTCGTGATGTATTTGAATGTTTACGGTAACTGATGCACATCTGTCTAGAAACTGGTCTTCCTCTGCGATTTGTATGAGAATATCCAGCTATTGGCTATAAACAGCTGTTCTCAAGGACATTACGCTAACTACACCGAACAGCTGCGCGTGTCACGTGATCCGTCGCGATTTTTTTTTATTTAAAAGTAAATTCGTTTTTAAATAATATGTAATAAAGGAAATTAAGTTATATGTTAAAATTTTTTAGAAATCTAATTCATAATTTGGTGTATTAAATGTTTTTTTAATTTTTTGTGGCAGTTTTTCCTGTAAAACACAAAAAACAACGTTAGGTTAATGAGGTGTCGATTAGCATATGATATAAGTAATAACAAGAAAATAAAAAAAAAATTATCAAAAAATAACGTAATACAATCGAGTATTTGCAGTAACTAGTTCAGACGTGTGTAGAAAACCTACTTCCCCTCAGGCTGTTGTTGGGAACAACCCGCAAAAGTTTACAATCAGCTGTTTTCAAGGTCGTCCAGCTGTGTATCTGTACTGAAGCTTTTTTATGATTTTTATGATTCAATTTTTGTATTTTTATCATTGTATATTTTATATATTAATTTTAAATATCTTTTGTCTCATTAAATTTATTTTTATTAAATGTTTTGTCATGTTTATTTTTTAAATTATTTTTTATCTACTCTACTCACGAATGGCAGCTTCCCAGCAAACAACGAACCTATACGGAGAAGCTGCCATCGCAGGGATGGGATGCCCCTGTAAAGTTGGCTATCATGATGGAAAGACACCATTTAGAAACCATCCAAGGCGCGAACACAAAAACTGTTTAAAACTTTTTTTTAAATTAAAATAAACTTTTTTTCTTTATTATTTAATAGCAAGGTAATTTTCCAAGCGACCTTTTTCCCGAAACAAGAAACTTAAACGGTTAAATCATAATACTTATCATCCATGGTACTCAAAAAGTTTTTAAATCCCATCTGTACAACCTTATATGATAAAAACAATCAACTTCAACATGAAAAGACTAATATCACAATTACGACTAAACTAATTCTCGCTGTATATTAATAATATATATATTAATCTATCAAATAATTATTGCCCATGGTGTAAATCAGGAGGTACAAATGTAGGTTAAGTGGGGAGGAGGGAACCCTCCTACCGGTAGACCCCCCTTTGCGATCAATAAATGTCTAATAAACCACACCCCTAGGGGCGAACCCTCAAGAGATATAACCCCCCAAAATCGCTCCATGCGTCGTCAACTTGCGTAGTATACACGACTAAGTACGCCTGCAACTATATGTATGTCATTTCTGGTCACGTGACTCCGCTTCAGTAGCGTGTGGTTCATTAGACATTTTTTATATCAAAGGGGGTCTACCAATTGGGGGATGATAACCCATTCTTGAATCGACAGTTTTACCCGGTCTATAATTTAGGGGATTCCCACCCCCTCCTTACCAATTATTCTTCGAAACAAAAGCAAGGTAAACGAGCGAGAGCGACCACCTTTAACACCACTTAGGCTTAATCGACTGTATCCAAGTAAAGGATAAAGAAAGAGCAATCATCGCTCCCGCTCAATGTAAAATCGCACCGAGTCATCGTTAACACGCAAAGTTAATGGGAGTTTTTTTTATCAAATTTATTTAATGGTTTATAAGTTGTAGTGCACAGATTTTCCTTCGGTAAAGTTATTTAAAGCTACTTTCTGATGCCAAGAACGACCTCCAATAGTTTTTTAATTTTTTTAATTATTATATTTTATTTCATATAAATTTAATTAATTAGGGGGGTCGGAAATCTCAATTAAAATTTTAATTTTTTAAAAATATTTAAAAATATAGGCGTAGCTGGACTTCACCCTACTTTAAACCCTAGTCCTCGTGAGACGTCTATGAGAATGCCCCAGGAAATCCAACTCCAGCTGTGTTCAAGGTCATCCAGATGTGTAAACAATGACTCATTGGTGTCAAATTTCGCAGAAAGGCGAGACAAAGGAAGTTAAACTTTGAAGCTTTTTCTTCAAAATTAACACATTTCTTTTGTTTTATTAAGTATTTTTTATGTATTT